GTAGGCACACTTCATGATATTGTAGACCATTAGGGAATACATTAAGCAAGTACTTTTACTTTTAATACTTTAAGTATTTTTAAAAGCAAGTACTTACTTTTACTCAAGTAAAATGTTAATGTGGTACTTTTACTAGCGTCCATTCTTGTCTGTTTATCTGTACTTTTACTTAAGTACAGTGTTTGAGTACTTTCTCCACCACAGTTGTTTGGATACAGTTAAGAGCTGGATGACAGAGTTTTCTTCAGTTAAATGAAGAAAAAACAGAAGTTATTGTTTTTGCACCAGAAAAAATAATTCTGGTGATAAAGCAGATCCTTGGGCCTCTTGGCAATCTGGCTAAATCTTCAGTTAGAAACCTTGGGATATATCCATAAAATAAAAAAAAAATTAAAAAAAGAAAGAAACCTTGGGATGATTTTTGATTCTGGTCTTACACTGGATCACCATGTTAAATCTTTGGTTCATTCCTGTTTCTACCACCTATGAAATATAGCAAAGCTCAGCCCCATTGTGTCTCGTTCAGAAATGGAAATCCTACTTCATGCTTTTGTTTCATTTTGTTGAGATTATTGTAAGGCACTGTACACATGTCTAACTAAAACCTCCCTCGACTGGTTACAGTCTGTGCAGAATGCTACTGCCAGCCAACTGACTAGAACTTCAAAGTTTTCTCGTGTAACTCCACTGTTATTCAGAATCAGAATCAGAATCTGGTTTATTGGCCAAGTATGTTGACACACACAAGGAATTTGTTTCCAGCAGTTTGTGACTCACTGGTATCAACACTGTACAGACACCTAACATATAATTCACACACATCTTCATTGGCTTTTGGTTCATTATCGAGTGAAATTTGAGATTTTGGTTTTGACTTGGCGAGCTCTGCATGGTCAGACACCACACTACATCTCAGAACTTTTATTTTTCCTGTCAGGGCTCTGAGGTCTTGTGATAAAGACATGCTGATTGTTCCTCGTACAAAATTAAAGACTAGAGGAGACAGAGCTTTTTCTTCTGTGGCTCCAAGGCTTTGGAGCTCTCTTCCTTTGAATTTAAGATCAGCAGATTCTGTGGACTTTTTTAAAGGCCAGCTAAAAACTTATCATTTAAATCTGTTTTTGTTTAAAACTGCTCTGTGTGTTTTTTATTTGTGCTTAATGAAGCACTTTGTGATTCCTACTGTATCTTGAAAGGTGCTATTTAAATAAAGTTTTATTTACTTACTCATGGCTACTACCGCCCAGAATTTTAGCTCAATGCCTATAAAATTGGCTGTGATATACAGTAGCTAATATTGTATTTGATAAGATTGTAAATTATGAATTTCTGAGTGTTTCAATAAAATTCACCCAGTGGTTCATGAGATATTTTGCTAACAGACAGACAGGGTTGACTTCAACAATTAATACCAAAGATTTTACCTGATGATCTAACATGTAGCACAAGATGTCTTAGCTCAGCTACAACCATGCCAAACTTTAGCTCACTTTCTGTAAAACTTGACTGAGTTTTAGCTGTTTTTGTGTCAATCAGCAGTGGCGACCATCTTGAATTTGGTTGGCTTTAAAAAATAATTAGAAAATAACTATAATTATCAATATGTCAGAGTTCATTTAAAACTTTTTTATTCATTGCATGTTCCCGTTTGCTAAAATAATGCATTTAGTTATGGACTAACTCATTTAACTCACATAAAACTGTAATAACGACTAAAGTAATAGTAATCTAAATACTTAACAGCTTTAAACTTTAAACTAAGCTGCCAATTTAAATCTGAGTTTATATTTTGACCTCTTAATATTTAGATTTTACTAAATCTGTTTCCTTCCCATCTGTTCACTCTTCTCATTTCTAGAATGTGTTTACTAAATTATTAATGTCTGCATTATTTTTGCTGTTTGCAGTTTGTTATTTATGTACAGAAATTTATAGCATTAAAAGTTCTTATCACTTAGTTGTTAGCATTTAATTGTAATGTAACAAACATATCTAAAAGGGAATGCAAACTGTTCCAGTTATCTTTAGGACGTGATGCTGGGGGTATCTCTGTGCAGAAGACAAAAGTTAGGCCTGCATACAGTTTCAAAATATGAACCAGCCACTGAAAAAGAGCAGGCATATGGGGGGGGGGCACTCCTGGATTACTTTAAGTGTTTTATTTACTGAGCATAAGAACCCCAGAGAGAAAGATGTTACAGCTCATAAAACAAATCATAAGATTAGGGGAGAAGATACCCCTGATGATATGAACCCTTTGAAATTATTGCAGTGAATCAGAGGCCTTGTTTTTTCCTGCCTGTGAATAAAAATAAGTTTTTTTATGCTGGGTGATGTTCATAACATCCGCATGGCAAATAATTATCATATGAATATTGATAATTCTGTTCCAGCGAACTTGCACAAACATAAAAAGAATCTCATGATGAAGGTGGCTTATCAACTTTCATCCGAGACGAGCCAATGGTAATTCACAGCTGAAGCATGGGGCGGGGCGGGGCATGATTGACAGGGCGCTGGACCAGTCCGGGCGCGCAAAGTTAGAAAAAAGAGCGACGTCATCGATGATCATAAATCTCTCCGCCTCCATCTCAACGCCCGAGACTTTTCTCAACACAAAAGCAAAATGTCTGCTGGATGTTCGGAGGCATTGCGGCTCCGGGTCTGCGACTGTTTGGAGCGATAATGAGCAGTTTTCGCCAGCGGCGAACTAGAAGGACAATAAAGTCCCACTGACAGATAAATACGCTCGACTTGTCAAATGTAATAATTGCATTATTTGCTGTTTACCTTCACTCCGTATGGTGGCTCATCAAATGTAACTAGCATGTACCTGTCGCCTCTACTAGCCGGATCTCGAGCACGCAGCTGTCAAAAAAGAAAACCAAAACAACATAAATTAATTCTGACCTATTTTGCCCAAGGAACCCTAATTTCACCAAAGGTGCAAAGTTGCTGGAAAAAACGGGGTAAAATCATTATTTACCTTCATAAAGACCTCAACCGCGCCTTTAGCAACGTCCAGATACGTCGTACCCAAATAAGTGCGCTGATTCATAGAGGCGGACGTGTCTAACAGAAAAAGTAAAATAGGCATTTTAAATGGAGAGCCGCGGTGGTATGCTTTTCTAAAATAACTGTTAACCACATATGACCTATCGTGTGGCCAAACAATTCACACGTGTGTGTGTGTATATATATTTCTTATAATAAGCCCCCCCTCCAATAGAGGGCCACTGCATCTGCTCTCTCTGTAATGCCTTTCTGGAGCTGTTTCTCAGCTCGCGCTGTTCAACTTCTGCTCCTAAACAAACGGAACGCCCATTTACCCAAAGTGCGACGCGATTGGTCGAGCCCCAAACGCTTGGTTACGCCCATTTTAAACACAAACATATAAAAAGGTCGTAATGGTTCTTGTGCAACGTGCATTGAATGATGTCACGCTGTAGTTTAAGGTTTATGTGTGATTCAGGCCTGTTTATGTACCGCGTAAATATACGCGGGTCTTTTGTAAACTTCCGTATTAGAACTGAATTACGACAAATGTTGGATTAATCTGTTTACAGATTATAATCAGAAGTGACATTACTTGTCAGTTCCCCCTTATCCCGCCTCCTCAGAGGAACGGTTTCTTTGCAGCGTTCAATGAGCTGCAAAAGGTCACTCCCTCCACTCGCAAATCAACTGTGGCAACACAATTAATCATTTAATAAAATTTGACCGGATGTTCAAAGCTGAAATTTATAATTAAGTTTTTTCCTAGTCAAAATGAACACTTCACGTATGCAGAATGCTATTTGTGTTTTATCAAAATACTTCTTATTTTAGATTATATTTTATTATTATTTTGCAAAACAGTGGCATCAATTTTTTTTATGCCAGATGCCCTTCCTGATGCAACTTTCATCATTTATCCAGGCCTGTGGCTTGAGAGATGCACTGGCTTATGCTCCCTAGTGGCTGGTTTATACTACTAATACTGCTGCGGATGTTGCTGCTAATAATAATATTATTAATAATAACAATAATAATAACTCATAGCAGTGTACTGTATAACAGAAATCACTTTCATTTTGGACAGAAATATCTATTATATCAGAAAATACATTGCCCCTAAAGGACACAAACAGAAATATTAAATAAACAAAATGATGTTTGACTGATGGTACAGTGGCTCAGTCGGTAGAGTTGTTGATCAGCAAGAATTCTACATTTTTTTCTTCTTTCTGCAAACTTTTCATTCAATAATTGATTTACTTTGTTTTTAATTGACTTTTTGTTGCTTATATGAATGAAATAAATGAACAAAAAGAAGTCTCTTTTTAGGTAGGGTTTGTATGTTTTTTCTCCAGGCACCTTAGTTTCCTCCTACAGACCAGAAAACATGAATGTTAAATTAATTGGTAACTTTAAACAGTGGCGTGTCTAGGATATTTCAGTGTAGGGGGCTATCAAGGGGCCACAATATAGAGGGGCCAAGTATTTGTTCAACATCCTTGCACACAAATCCCCACTTTTTGTAAGTTTTATACATGTAATCAGTCACACCTGTTTAAACACTTGTAAAAAGCTTGCACAGTAAATTCTCCTTATCAATTTTACATGATTCTTTACTGTACATAAATAAAATACTCTCAAACACACAACATGTAAGAAAACGTACCCATCATTATCAGCAAAAAACTTTTTCTGCAGGATTGTTCAAATCAAAAAATACTTTTTTAAGCTTGCTTCATGTTGGACTTTCCTATTTGACTCACTGGCGCCACTAGTGGTTCAAAGTGGAACTGCAGCCACCATCATTGTTCTTGGGCAAGGACAGATGAGTGACAGGACAGGGGCACTTAAGGGGCCAATCAGATTTCAGATGGGGTCAATGCCCCTGTGGCCCCACCCCTAGAACTGCCCCTGACTCTAAATTGTCCCTAGGAGTGAATGGGAGAGTGAATGGTTGTTTGTCTCTTTGGTTACGTTCACACCGCAGGTCTTAATGCTCAGTTATGATTTTTGAAAAAAAAATTTTTTTTTTGTCGTGAACATTATGACTCCATCAAACTCCAGTGTGAACTCTCCATGGTCCTGATGAGAACCATATGCACAGAAGATGACATGACGTCCCACTCAGCTTAGCCTGGTAAAAACCAGACCCTTGTCCTTCACTTTTCTTCGTACAAGGGCCTGGACTCACGGCCATAGAGAAGCGATTCTTGCTGGAGGCGTGGCCACTGCTGTAGTATGTGTGTGTCTCTGTGAAGGAGGCTAATCTAAGAAGCTAACCGGAAATCGTGTATGCTGTAAACAACCCTACTAAGAGTACCAAGCCGAACGAGACGGCTGTATATGAGAACTGCTGCTTTGTCAGACAAATTTAATTTAGTTTGGAAGCCTTATCAACACGAACTGGCCTCATTCACTTCCTCCACTGCCATTGCTAAACTAGCAGACACTGCGCAGAAAATCGACGTTCTGCTCTCTGATTGGTTCGGCTAAAAATCTGCCAGCAAAATCCATCTCAATGGGAGAAGTCCCAGACAGAGCAGTGATGGGAAACTAGAATTGAACAGAACTGCATAGGAAGGCAAGGGCCAGGCTACATTCAGATCACTGTTTACAGAATTAGCTAAAAATGAAGGCTACTTGTTAGCATGTTGATTCTCAAATTGTTGTGCAATCAGAGCTGATTAAATAATTATCCATGTTTAGTTTGCTGCCCGGATGCTCCGATGCAGCTATTCATTTTTGGAGTGAAGAGACATGCTAAAAATAAAGTATTAATCAAATAACTTTAGTATCGATACAGTGTTGTTGGACATTACTGTTATATGTTTCTGCAGATTCTCAGTCATCCAGGACACGGAAAATTAAAAGGTTTGATCTAGACTTCTGGTATTGTTTCAAATTAGTTATAATGTTAAATATTTTATTTGGACAAAACTGTTTATTTGGTATAATGTACAGGTATGTAAATTGGCAGTGAGATTTAGAAAACTGTACAAAGGGTGCCACTTGAAACAATACTCTTCTCATAGATTTATATAAAAAAATAATCCAAAAATTTGCTTGTCACTGTGATGGACCTGTCCAGGTATGGAGG